AACTTCTACTGCGCGGCCTACAGCATCCCGGTCAAGGAGAGGCCCATGTTCAAGGGCAGGGGCCTTCCGAAGGAGCTACAGTGCAAGGGGCAGAAGGACCGAAGACCCGGGCGCGCACGATGCACGGACCGCAATGCGGACTGGTGGCACAGAACGGCGAACACCCTGAACACGATCGAGCAGCTCAAGAAGCGCAAGCGAGGCATAGAAATGCAGGGCAGAGCGGCCGCGACACGCAGACTACTTGCCAGAAGGAATACCACCTTTCGGTCACCAAGCATCGGCAAAAGGCACGACTTCACAGGAAGATTTGAAAGACGAGGCTGCTCAGCATCGACGAGCAGGAGGTAGACAGCATCGAAGGCATGCGACGACAAGCGGAACAGCAGGCACGCAAGACCCGCAAAGACGACATCGCGAAGGGCAGGGCGGCACACATCAAGTAAATCACGACGACGGCCGAGGAACCGCCGGGGAAAATGCACACCATCACGACGGACGGGGAGTGCTACGAGCAGGAGATCCTGCACGAGATGGACAAGAGACGCTCGCCAGTGGGCAAGCTTGACGCCAGGCTGAAGATGTTCGAGGACATCTAGAGCAAGGGGCGCGGCGTTGCAGACGTCGTGGAGCTTTTCCAGGGCCTTCGACGCGCGGCGCGACAGACGGCGGCGCCGGCGTGGTCTGTTGAGCAGTTGGACCATGCCATACAAGGAGCACCAGATAGAGGGAAAGGAGTAGACCAGATGTGCGTGACGGACCTACGTCGGCTCCCACCACAAAGGCGCAGCAGCTTCGTGAATTTGTTCAAAGCCTGCGAGGAGGCCATCGCCTGGCCCTGGCAAGTCCTAGAGGCGATCACCATGCTGTAGCCCAGAGGAGCCAGCCAACCTAAACCACGCGGTCAGCGCAGGCGGCGACAGAGCACTGGCGCTACTCAGTTGGCTTGGCAGACGCTGCGAACTACTCAATCGAGAACAGGTACGAGATCGGGCCAAATAGATCAAGATGCCGCAGGACGCGGCGGCGCCAGGACAGAGCTGCTTACGCGAGGCCATGCTCAGGATCATCGACGACGAGACCACCGACGCCCTAGGGGCCACCCCAGCGGGGGCCCTCATCGACATCGAGAGGTTCTACGACAACGTCGAGTTCGGGCACGCCGCGCGAGCAGCCCAGCACTTCAACTTCCCGCCGCGCATCTTGGCCATGTCGCTACTCCAGCACATGACATCGCGACTGCTGCGACAGGAAGGGTGCCAGAGCGAACACACGCTGGCCAGCAAGGCCCTCCTGGCGGGCTCACGCCACAGCAATAACTTGGCAAGGGCCCTGCTCTACGTCACGATTGCGTGGCACCTGAGCGAGGAACCGACGCCCGACCCCAGAATATGGCTTGACGACATCAGGTTCAGGGCAACCGGCAGGAAGACGTCAGCGGAGCAAGACGTCGTTCATCACGTAGTTTCGATCAACCTGCAGCTGACGAAGAACAACCTGAAGACGGCGGCGAAGTCGGCGGTCTTCGGCCCAACCACCAAGAGCATCGCCAAATTCACCAAGCAACTCGCCAAACTCAACATCAATGTCAAGCCAGTCAAAGAAGGCAGAGACCTCGGACTTGACCGAGGAGCTCGACTTACCACCTCACGCGCCACGCGCAGAGAAAGAGCGACGAAGGCGGGCGAGCGTTTCAACGTGGTGGGCAAGAAGCTGAGGCAGCTGAACACCAGGCAGATCAAGGGCATCGTGGAGCAAGGGGCGATGGCATCGCTCCTCTACGGGCGCAAGGCGAACTGCAGCTCGCCATCCGAGCCAAAGCACATCAGAAGACTGCACGGCAAGGCAGTACGACGAACATGGACGGGGAGATGCTTGAGTTCTCTTCTGGCGATAGAGGGGGGCGACCCAGCGCGAACAGCACCGCGAGCCCAACTTGCTGCATGGTTCGACCTATGGACCCGACATTCCGAAATCCACGAAGCAGTGCACCGAGCATGGCCGATCATCCGCCGACGAATGCTACAAGGATCGCGACAGGGAAGATGGAAGAAGAGGCGAGGCATCATTGGGCGCCTGATCCTGCAGCTGACCGAGCTCGGTTCGGACCCCACAGCTCCAACGGGATGGGCAGACAGCAACGGCGACCAGTGGGCCATGTAGAACGGACATGCGGAGGGCCCGACGGACGTCATCAACCACAGCATGAAGGACGTGGAGCGCAACATCTGGACCAAAGCGGCAAAGCACCACAACGGGAAAGGCCTGGAGCAGGGAGCGAACTTCACGGACGTCAAGAAACACACCGACAAGCTCGAGGAACGGTAAGCACCAGGACTACGGAGCCCTACTCGTGGCGGTCTGCGGCGGCGCTTGGACAGGGGCGCGAAGGGCGGCGGCATTCAGCGCAGCGGGCGCGTGCAAGCGCGGGGCGCTGGACACGGACTTCAACCGCATCTGGGAGACTTGCAACCAGGAGAGCGACCCCAAGGACGACAAG